AGTGGTGTAATTTTCTTCTCCACCAACTACACTCATGTCATTTGCTGCACTGTCAATTCATTCGTGTAATTTCCTCCTCCAATTTCACAGATGTAATCTCTTTTCCACCAACTACACTAATGTAAATTTCTTCTCCAGAATGTCAGATATGTCGATCATCATGGAGCCAAGCCATCTCATGGCTTTTCGTTATGCCCTCTGTTAGACTTTTGAAAGTCACAAATTCTTTCCACAGTTTAGTTTGCATATTTTGAGGCATGGGAGTGCCACGAGGTTTTAGAGGCTGGTTGGAGAGGGATACATGGGAGGTATGATGTTGGCGGGGTTTGTCTCCAGTGGGCAAACATGACCCTTGGGGGAGGACTCCCCTCCCTACCCTACACCAGCTAATGAAGTAAAAGCTGCTGGTTTATCTGCTTGGCATGGGCTTCCCTTGCCATGTGTGAAAAAGCAGAGCGAAAGTGAGGCTAAAACTAAATCTCCATAAAACGAACACACCTCAGCAATTCAGCATTCAAATTGACATAATGAAATTCAAATCTAGTTCACATTAGTTCTTAATACTTTTAATTACAAACCAGAATTTGATTAGATTTTTATTAGGTAGAGGTATTAAGAACTATAGAACCAGTGTGGGTAAATAGGTTTAAAAAACATATTAACTATGATCTGAAACAAAAACAGAAATTGCTGGAAAAACTCAGCAGGTCTGGCAGAGAAAGCAGAGTTAACGTTTCAGGTCCAGTGACACTTTTTCAATTCTGCAGATGCTAGTTCATAGTAAGTCTCATAAATATATTTACCCACAGTGGTTCTGTAGTCCTTAATACAACTACCTAATAAAAATCTATCAAACTGTGTCTTGAAATTTAAAGTATTAAAACTAACGTGAACTAGATTTGAACTTCATCTGCCAATTTGAATGCTGAATTGCTGAGGTGTGTTCGTCTTATTGAGATTTAGGTTTGGCAGAAATCTGTGGAGAGAAATCAGAGTTAACATTTCAGGTCCAGTGACCCTTTTTCAATTCTGCATATGCTACTGAGTTTTTCCAGCAATTTTTGCTTTTGTTTCTGATTTCCAGATTTGCAGTTCTTTCAGATTTCTTGCAGAGCAGCTCAAGGGGCTGGAAAGCTCTCTGATCCCACACACTGAAGTACACTGAAATTAGTGTATTTTAAAATGTAATTGACTGTATAAAGTCACACAGGAAAGTCAATGAACTTTTAAGTGATGAATAATTCCTTAAAGCCTGTTTTTCTGATCTGTTTTGCAGGCTGCATCTCCCAGCAAAGTCGCTCTTGGGATTTATTGTGGTATAGTAGCTCTCCTTTTTACTGTGATAAAGACAATTAACTATCAGCTTCACCTTATGTTTGAGGAAGAAGAAATTATACATCGCAATGTTCAGTCTGCTGTTTCCACAAAGGATAGGACCGGATCTGGAGCAAAGGATAATGGTGAACCAGAACTGATGCCGTCTTTTAGTCCTGGGTAAGAATGTACAAAAATAAAGAATTCCTTCTTAGTCAGTTATTAAGAACGATTTATGTTTTACATCTGGATATTTATAATATCATGATTCATTTTATTTCTGGTGTCACTCATGATTCAATGAGTAGCACTGTTGCCTCTACAATCAGACGACTATGGGTTCAAGCCGCAATCAAGAAAATTGAAAATATTGCCCAAGTTGACTGCGCCTGTGCAATATTGAGAAAGTGTTGGACAGGTTGCCTTTCAGAGGAGAGGTTAAAGAAAGGCTTTGTGAGCTCAGTTGGATGCTTGTCCTGTTTAGGTACACCTGATATCATAAATAGTGACAGATCACAGTCAGCATGGATTTCTGAAGGGGAAATCATGCCTGATAAATCTACTGGAATTTTTCATGAATGTCAATGGTAGAATTAATAAGGGTGAGCCAGTCGGTGTGGTTTATTCGGACTTTCAGAAGATGTTTGGTCAGGCCCTACATAAGAGATTAGCATTTAAAATTAAAGCACAATGGACTGGGTGCAGTGACATAGAGAACTGGGTGGCAGACCAGAAGAATAGGAATAAACAGGTCTTTTTCCAAGTTGCAGGAAGTGACCAGTGGGGTACCACAGGGTTCAATTCTTGAACCCCAGCTATTTACAGCTATCAATGATTTAGATGAGGGAATTAAATGTAATATCTTCAAGTTTGAAGATGACACAAAGCTGGCTGGGAGGGTGAACTGTGGGGAGGATGCAGAGATGCTCCTGTGAGATTTAGACAAGTTGAGCGAGAGGGCAATTGCATGATAGGTGAAGTATAATGTTAGTAAATGTGAAGTTATCCACTTTGATAGCAAAAAGTGGACAGTGAATTATTTTCTGAATGGCGATAGATTGGAAACGTGACCTAGGTATCCTTGTATACCAGTTGCTGAAAGTAATCATGTAGGTGCAGCAGACAGTGAAGAATGCAAGTTGTATTTTACCATTCATTGTGAGAGGATTCGAGTACAGGAGTAGGGATGGCTTACTGCAATTGCACGGAGCCTTGGTGAGATCACACCTGGGTATTGTGTGCAGTTTTTCTCCTTATTTGAGATTAGAAAGTGTAAACAGAGGAAAGGCATTTTTGATGATCAGTGAGTTCAGAACCAGAAGTCCTAAGGAAACGAGGTAGGCCATTTAGAACTGAGATGAAGAAAATATTTTCACCCATAGAGCAGTGAGCCTGTGGAATTCTCAGCCACAGAAAGCTGTAGAGACCATGCCGAGAATGTTTTCAAGAAGGAAATACATATACTCCTTAGGATTAACAGGATCAAAGGATACGAGGAGAAAGTGGGAACAGGGTACTGAGTTGGATGATTAGCTATGATCAAACTAAAATGGCAGAACAGGCTCAAATTGCCAACTCGTCCCCTGATTTTCTGTGTTGCTAATTGTAGTTGTGAGTATGCTGTTACATTGGAATGCAACCATTCCTTAAGTTTCATGTCAAACATGACTCAGTGAGTAGTACAATCACTTCTGAAGTCCAGTCCAGAGTCTTGAATTCAGGCCGACGTTCCAAGTGGAGTCGAGGTGAAGTGCCATTGGAGGGGTGGTACTAAGAACAGCACCACCTGCCTCAGAGTGGATGGCACTGAGGGATTGTTGTGCTAGTAGAAGGGAAAGCTGAGTTTGAGCACTGTTGGAGAGAAATAGCAATACTGAGAGTGTGCAGTACTATTAGAAGGGTGGTTTTGATACTTGGATGAGCATATTTTGCAATACTAGGGTATTTTATTAATCAAGAATTGCCTGAGTCATTGAATGCAATAAAACAGAACCTGTAGTCAATGTGGATGCATTACAGCAGTAATTACTGACTTTTGTTGTTACACAGCCACATGAAATTATTTAATTTCAATCAGTCTTGAGCAATAAGATTTATAATGTTTTAATGGAAAAGGGGTTCTCTGGTTGGTAGTCTCAGGCAACCTGTTCTGCAATACAAAATAAGGCAAGGATTATTTAAAAACTGAAAGTTAATATCTTGTGGTGAGATTTGAAATTATATTAAAGTTTTAAAACAAGAAAATGCATGGAAATTAAGAGCAATTAGGAAATCAATCGGAATTAATGAGTTATTCAGGTTCTTGCAAGTTCTTATTTCATCTGGATTTTGAACTTCAGTTTGAAGAACAGTCGAGCCAAAGATCTAGTATCAGTGAATGTGAGCATGAAGTTGGATTGTTATAAAAACCCAGCTGATTGCCAGAGTCCTTTAGGAAGGGAAACCTACTGCCCTCACTTGGTCTTGTCTACGTCGGTCTCTGGTGCCACAGGAATATGGCTGACTCTAATTAGCCCTTTAAAGTTGTGTGAAATAAAAGGCTCAACACCAGTTTTTTTTTCAGGGTAGTATTAATGGATAAACAATATATACCAGTTTTACCAATAATAAGGATGAAAAAATACTGAAAAGAAAGGGTCAGTGAAATGTAAAGTTCAGGCAGAATTCAAATTGAAAGATCTTAAATTCAATAAAATTGAAATGCTTACTTTTTAATTACATAAGAACCTTCAATTCCTCAAGCCTACTCCACCTTTTATTTAGATTGTGGCTAATCTGTATCCTAACTCCATCTTTAACTCTTAACTTATTTTAGAAAATAATCTATCAATCTTAGATTTAGAATTATTAATTGACTGCCATTTGTTACCTTTTTATTGGAGGAAATCACAATTTTACTTACCATTGCATAAAGGAGTTTTTCCTAACATCACTGCTAAATGGCCTGGCTCTGATTTTAAGGTTGTGTTCCCTCAATCAACACTCTCTCGTATAAGGGCCAGTTTTAAAAACTGTGGACTGAAATGAGAAAGCTGCTTTAAAATCCAGTGTTTGAAAGAGTAGTTGCAGTTTTGAAACCAAGTAGCCTGACACCCATGCCTGGCATCGTGTAAACAACTGTTTGAACAAGCAGTAAATAAAGTGTCAGTTGCAGACAATTTGGAGCAGAGGGGGTTTACATTTGTAGCTTTTGCTGGCAACAAGAAGTTGATTGGTCTATGGATTAGTGTCCAGTTATTGATGACTGGATCTTTCAGTCTGCCAACAACTGTGATTGTTTCTCAGAAGCTGGGAACAAATTGCAGACAGTGAGCAAGAAGTTTTCGGTTCTTCACCGGCTAGGGAGCAGTTTCTCTCTTGTCTAAAGTTAGAAATTGATGTAAACCTGAGAAACCAATTTATCTTTCCTGCATCAGTTGTTGTAAGCTGAGACTTGCAATTTGAAAAGTCAGAGACTTTGAGTGAACCCACCACCTTGTGATCCTTATCAATCTGTGGAAGCATCTGCTTCAGTCATCTTTCTCCAATGTGCTGGCCAGCAGAGGAGTCAAAAGAATAATCTCAACAATAACGCATGGGGCTAAGAAACTACTGAACTGTTTTTCCAGATTTTCCCCTTTTCCGTAACTTATTTTCTTCTGCCTGTTTCTGTGCATAAGGTGGAGTTTATAAGGGAATGAGAGTTTTAATTAATAGAATTTAATGCCAGTGGTTTAAAACTGGTTACCTATTGCTGCAGTCTAATCAATAAATAGCGATTCTTGTTCAGTACGGAAACTTGGCTCATACTTTGTCAGCCAGAGTCTGAAAGTTGGTCAAATTGGGGCACTTGCTGTACTTTATAAAGTCTTTAACTTTTGTGATGATTCCCGGAATAGTGAGCTTGATTACTAGTAATTAACCCTTAACCGTGGGTTCAGTGAGTTGTAACAAGAAAAAGTTTGTCTCCATCCATCCTATTAATTGTTTCCTCTTCCTAATGGTGCTGTGGGTGTGCCAATACCAAATGGACTGCTACTGTTCAAGGTGGCACGTCACGATCTTCCCAAGGGCATTTAGGGATGAGCAACAAATACTAGCCCAGCCAGTGATGCCCATATCCTGTAAAAATAATAAATGAATTGTTTCTACAATATTGTAACATATCATTTGGGAAGAATCTTGTCAAAGTGACTGGAGATTTAACCACTGGTTGGAAAGCCAGTATCACCTCATTTTGGGAGCCCCCAGTACCTCTTGTTTCTCGAAGGCACGTGACAAGTTAGGAGTAGGCCTTCAGTAGGATCAGGAAACTCAAGTTTCGCCTTTTTTTTATATTTGCATCATCTTCACCGTTATCATCTATGATATGCTTCCCAGATGGTTTAGTAAAACCGTATGTAGTTTCACAGCCATCTGCCCTTATTGGTATTTGTAAATCAATTTAGACCAAGTGGGGAAGGATGTCCACAAAAATCTTCAGCAGAAGTAAGGCTGAATCATCCTAAACACTAAAGGCTTATTACGTAGTATTTATTATCTAGTTACACTACATCTAAGATGTTAGAACCTTCTCTAGTGAAAACTGATGCAAAATACCTGTTCAGTTCATCTGCTACCTCCTTATTTTCCATTATTAATTCCTCAGACTCACTTTCCAGAAACCAACACATACTTTATTCACTCTTTTGCAAATATCTATTAAAACTTACTATCCTATTTTTATATTACAGAAAGATCAGTGCCCGGTCGGTAGATTGGACAGCATATAACAAACATCCCACCCAGATCCATCCCCCCCATCACTCTAATCCTGCATTTCCCATGTCCTGGACACAATGGGCAGTTTAGCATGGCCAATCCCACCTAATTTATCTCCTTTTTAATTAAACTGCTTCTGCATTCTGGTTTGCTGAATTTAGGTCATCCTTTTCTATTGTGCTAACAGTATTATTAATAAAGAGAGCCACTCTTCCACCTTTTCCTAGTTTGCTGTCTTCCTCAATGTTGTGGACCCTTGAATATTCAGGTCCCAGTCTATGTCATCCTCTTACCATGTTTCTGTAATGGCTATTACTTGGTACTTATTTATTTGTGTTGTCGGTTCATTTGTTTTGATTGGAATGTTATGTGCATTCAGATACAGAACCTTTCAGTTTTTCTCTTTTGGACTTTTATTATTTTTGTAATCTCTAGACTCA